CCTGTACCCAAACTAAACTCTCCCTGTACCTCAACTTAACTCAACTCTCCCCGTAATCTCAACTCAACTCTCCCCGTAATCTCAACTTAACTCTCCCAGTAATCTCAACTCAACTCACCCCTTAAACTCAAATTAACTCACATCTCCCTGTACTCAAACTCAACTCTCCCTGTACCTCAACTTAACTCAACTCTCTCCGTAATCTCAACTAAATTCTCCCCGTAACTTCAACTCAGCTCTCCATGTACTCTCAAAAACTCCAACTCTCCCCATACCCTCTACTTAACTCAAACTCCTCCCGTAATTCTCAACTAAAACTCTCTCCCCCCGTACCTCAACATAACTCAACTATCCCATAATATCAACTCAACTCTCCCCGTAATTTCTCAAACTCAACTTTCCCCGTACTCTCAACTAAACTCTCCCTGTACCACAACTTAACTCAACTCTCTCCGTAATCTCAACATAACTCTCCCCATAACTCTCAACTCAACTCTCCATGTACCTCAAACTTAACTCAATCATCCCCGTAATCTCAACTCAACTCTTCCCCCGTACTCTCAACTAAACTCTCCCTGAACCACAACTTAACTCAACTCTCTCCGTAATCTCAACATAACTCTCCCCGTAACCTCAACTCAACTCTCCATGTACCTCAACTTAACTTAATCATCCCCGTAATCTCAACTCAACTCTCCCCGTACTCTCAAATTAACTCTCCCCGTACCTCAACATAACTCAACTATCCCCGTAATATCAACTCAACTCTCCACATAATCTCAACTTAACTATCCCCATAACCTCAATTCAACTCTCCATGTACCTCACCTTACCTCAACTCTCCCCAATAACATCAATTAACTCTACCCGTAACTCAACTCAACTCTCCCCTTACCTCAACTCAACTCTCCCTGTAATCTCAACTTAACTCAACTCTCCCCGTACTCTCAACTTTAACTATCCCCATAACCTCAAAACTCAACTCTCCCCATAATATCAACTCAACTCTCCCCGTAATCTCAACTTAACTCTCCCCATAACCTCAACTCAACTCTCCATGTTCCTAAACTTAACTCAATCATCCCCTTAATCTCAACTCAAACTGTCCCCGTACCTGAACATAACTCAACTATCCCCGTAATAACAACTCAACTTCTCCCCGTAATCTCCAACTCAACTGGTCCCCGTAATCTCAACTCAATTCACCCCCTTAAAAACTCAAATTAACTCACATCTCCCTGTACCCATACTAAACTCTCCCTGCTACCTCAAACTTTACTCAACTCTCCCCGTAATCTCAACTTAACTCTCCCTGTAACCTCAACTCAATTCTCCATGTTACCTCAACTTAACTCAATCATCCCTGTAATCTTCAACTTCAACTCTCCCTTTAACCTCAACTCAACTCCCATGTACCTCAACTTAAACTCAATCATCCCCGTAATCTCAACTCAACTCTCCCTGTACTCTCAACTTAAACTTCCCCAGTACCTCAACATAACTCAACTATCCCCGTTACATCAACTCAAACTCTCCCCGTAATCTCAACTTAACTCTCCGCGTTAATCTCAACTTAAACTCTTCCCGTTCACCTCAACTCAACTCTCCTCATCAACCTCAAACTTACTTTCCAATCATTGCCCTGTAATCTCAACTCAACTCTCCCCATAATATCAATTCAACTCTCCCCGTAATCTCAACTCAACTTTCCCCGTACTCTCAACTTAACTATCCCCGTACCTCAACATAACTCAAATATCCCCATAATATCAACTCAACTCTCCCCGTAATCTCAACTTAACTCTCCCCATAACCTCAACTCAACTATCCATGTACCTCAACTTAACTCAACTCTCCCCGTAATCTCAACTTAACTCTCCCCGTAACCTCAACTCAACTCTCCATGTACCTCAACTTAACTCAATCATCCCCGTAATCTCAACTCAACTCTCCCCGTACTCTCAACTTAACTCTCCCCGTACCTCAACATAACTCAACTATCCCCGTAATCTCAACTCAACTCTCCCCGTAATCTCAACTCAACTCTCCATGTACCTCAACATAACTCAACTCAATCCCCGTAATCTCAACTCAACTCTCCCCGTACTCTCAACTTAACTCTACCTGTACCTCAACATAACTCAACTATCCCCGTAATATCAACTCAACTCTCCACGTAATCTCAATTTAACTCTCGGCGTACCTCAAAACTTAACTCAACTATCCACGGTTAATATCAACTCAACTCCTCCCCATAATCTTTCAACTCAACTCTTCCCCGTAATCTCAACTTAACTTTCCCTGTAACCTCAACTTTAACTCTCCATGTACCTCAACTTAACTCAATCAATCCCCGTTAATCTCCAACTCAAACTTTCCCCGTACTCTCAACTTAACTCTCCCCGTACCTTAACATAACTCAAACTATCCCCATAATATCAACTCAACTCTCCCCGTAATCTCAACTTAACTCTCCCCATAACCTCAACTCAACTATCCATGTACCTCAACTTAACTCAACTCTCCCCGTAATCTCAACTTAACTCTCCCTGTAACCTCAACTAAACTTCTCCATGTACCTCAACTTAACTCAATCTATCCCGTAATCTCAACTCGGTCCACTCTCCCCGTACTCTCTAATTAACTCTCCCCGTACCTCAAATAACTCAATTATCCCCGTAATATCAACTTCAAACTCTCCCTCATAATCTCAACTCTCCCCGTTAACCTCAACTCAACTCTCCATGTACCTCAACTTAAATCTCAATCATCCCCTAATTCTCAACTTCAACTCTCCCGAGTATCTTCTCAAACTTAACTCTCCCCGTACCTGAACATAACTCAAGCTATCCCCATAATGGTCAACTCAACCTTTCTCCCTGTAATCTCAACTTAACTCTCCTGTAACCTCAACTCAATTCTCCCCGTACCTTTCCAACTCAACTCTCCCATGTACCCTCAACACTTTAATCTCAATTTTCCGATCACCATAATTCTCAAACTAACTCTTCCCCGTTATCTTCAACTTAAACTATCCCCGGTAAACCTTTCAACATTAACCCAAATATTCCCCGTAATATCAACTCCAAACTCTCCCCATAAATCTCAACTCAACTCTCCCCGTAATCTCAACTTAACTCTCCCTGTAACCTCAACTCAACTCTCCATGTACCTCAACTTAACTCAATCATCATCCGTAATCTCAACTCAAACTCTCCCCGTACTCTCAACTTAACTATTCCCCGTACCTCAACATTAACATTTCAGATATATCCCCATAATTTATCAACTTAAACTTTTTTCCCCCCCCGGTTAAATTTTTTTTTCTTTTTTTCAAAAAACAAAACTTAAAACCTCTCCCCCCATACCTTTCAACTCAATACTATCCATCCCTACCTTCAAACTTTTAACCCTCAACTCTCCCCGTAATCTCAACTTTACTCTCCCCATAACCTCAACTCAACTCTCCATGTACCTCAACTTAACTCAATCGTCCCCGTAATCTCAACTCAACTCTCCCCATAATCTCAACTTAACTATCCCCATAACCTCAACTCATTTTTCCATGTACCTCACCTTGACTCAACTCTCCCCATAACATCAGTTAACCCTCTCCCTGTAACTCAACTTAACTCTCCCCGTTACCTTTCAACTCAAACTCCCCCCTGTTAATCTCAACTTAATACTCACTCTCCCCAAATTAATCTACCCAACTTTAACTTCTCCCCGTAACCTCAACTCAATTTCCATGTACCTCAACTTAAACTCAATCATCCCCGTAATCTCAACTCAACTCTCCCCGTACCTCAACATAACCTTCAACTATCCCCGTAATATCAACTCACTTTTTCCCCGTTAATCTCAATTTAACTCTCCGCCTATCTCAACTATCCCCGTAATATCAACTCAACTTCTCCCCATAATCTCAACTCAACTCTCCCCGTAACCTCAACTCAACTCTCCATGTACCTTCAACTTTAACTCAAATCAATCCCCGTTAACTATCAACTTAACACTCCCTGGTACCTCAAAATTAACTCAACTATCCCCATAATATCAACTCAACTCTCCCCGTAATCTCAACTTAACTCTCCCAGTAATCTCAACTCAACTCACCCCTTCAACTCAAATTAACTCACATCTCCCTGTACCCAAACTAAACTCTCCCTGTACCTCAACTTAACTCAACTCTCTCCGTAATCTCAACTTAACTCTCCCCGTAACCTCAACTCAACTCTCCATGTACCTCAACTTAACTTAATCATCCCCGTAATCTCAACTCAACTCTCCCCGTACTCTCAACTTAACTCTCCCCGTACCTCAACATAACTCAACTATCCCCGTAATATCAACTCAACTCTCCCCATAATCTCAACTTAACTCTCCCCGTAATCTCAACTTAACTATCCCCATAACCTCAATTCAACTCTCCATGTACCTCACCTTAACTCAACTCTCCCCATAACATCAATTAACTCTCCCCGTAACTCAACTTAACTCTCCCCGTTACCTCAACTCAACTCTCCCTGTAATCTCAACTTAACTCAACTCTCCCCGTAATCTCAACTTAACTATCCCCATAACCTTAACTCAACTCTCCCCATAATATCAACTCAACTCTCCCCGTAATCTCAACTTAACTCTCCCCGTAACCTCAACTCAACTCTCCATGTTCCTAAACTTAACTCAATCATCCCCTTAATCTCAACTCAACTCTCCCCGTACCTCAACATAACTCAACTATCCCCGTAATATCAACTCAACTCTCCCCGTAATCTCAACTCAACTCTCCCCGTAATCTCAACTCAACTCACCCCTTAAACTCAAATTAACTCACATCTCCCTGTACCCAAACTAAACTCTCCCTGTACCTCAACTTAACTCAACTCTCCCCGTAATCTCAACTTAACTCTCCCCGTAACCTCAACTCAACTCTCCATGTACCTCAACTTAACTCAATCATCCCCGTAATCTCAACTCAACTTAACTCCCCGTACTCTCAACTCAACTCTCCCCGTAACTCAACTTAACTCTCCCCGTACCTCAACATAACTCAACTATCCCCGTAATATCAACTCAACTCTCCCCGTAATCTCAACTTAACTCTCCCCGTAATCTCAACTTAACTCTCCCCGTAACCTCAACTCAACTCTCCATGTACCTCAACTTAACTCAATCATCCCCGTAATCTCAACTCAACTCTCCCCGTACTCTCAACTTAACTCTCCCCGTACCTCAACATAACTCAACTATCCCCGTAATATCAACTCAACTCTCCCCGTACCTCAACTTAACTCAACTCTCCCCGTAACCTCAACTCAACTCTCCATGTACCTCAACTTAACTCAACTCATCCCCGTAATCTCAACTTAACTCTCCCCGTACCTCAACATAACTCAACTATCCCCGTAATATCAACTCAACTCTCCCCGTAATCTCAACTTAACTCTCCCCGTAATCTCAACTTAACTATCCCCATAACCTCAACTCAACTCTCCATGTACCTCACCTTAACTCAACTCTCCCCATAACATCAATTAACTTTCCCCGTAACTCAACTTAACTCTCCCCGTTACCTCAACTCAACTCTCCCTGTAATCTCTTAACTCTCTTCGTACTCTCAACTTAACTATCCCCATAACCTTAACTCAACTATCCCCATAATATCAACTCAACTCTCCCCGTAATTTCAACTTAACTTGGTTCTCCCCGTCATCTCAACTCTTCCCGTAACCTCAGCTCAACTCTCCCCTTAACCTCAACTTAACTCAACTTTCCCCGTAACGACAAATCAACTCTCCAGGCAACCTTAACTCTACCTAACTCTCCTCGTTATCTCAACTCTACTCAATTCTCCTGGTAATCTTGACTCCACTCCCTGTTACCTCAACTCAACTCTTGTTAACACAATCTCAACTCTCCCCGTAACCTGACCAGTCCCTATAACCTAAACTCTTCCATAACTTGACTCCCAATAATCTCAGCTGTCCCCTTAACCCATCACTCAACTTTCCTCTTCAACTCTTCACTCAACTCTCCCCCTATGAAAACTGATTTATTGAAAAATTTACATGAAAACGTTTAAGAAATTCAGCAGGTTAATGAAATGTTCACAACACAATGTAAAGTTGGTGATTGACACATTCCGTCCAAGTGATGATATATGCATAATGTCTGTTCTTCTATAACATATCCATAGTCTGAAGTATGTTTCCTGAAATTTAAAGAAATACACATTTTATTATATTTTTTTCAACAAATAATTTTTCAACTTTTTTTATTTTCTTAAATAAATACATCACCTCTGATAATTTTAGCATTAAAGACGGTAGAGAATCACAATGTTATGTTTTAATAATTAACATCTGAAAATATTTATTTACTTCAAAGTGTTTAAAACTGATGTATCATAATTATACAAGTTAAATGTTGATGCTGCACATCAAAGATGTCTCAAAATGATTGAAATCAGCATTGAAAATCGTTCTATCAAAGTTGAATATCCAAAGAACGAAACAATTTTTTCTCCATGTTTTTGTTATGTGTTGTTGCTTAATAATTAAGTTGCATATTTTTGTGAAAAAGTCGAACCTAATTAAATGCATAAATTCACAAAGTAATGCCATGTCTGAAATTCTGAAATATTTGTCTGTTGCGACTAAGATTGAAAAGTCTCATTGAAGCAAAATAAATTGGATAACAACTAAAATTGAAATGATAGGTAAACTAAAAATAAATTCAAGATATTATATAATTATGTGCCAAGAATATGTCCATTTAAATATTGGTGCGAATTGCTTTATGTTGGAATGATTTTGAGGACAAACTGTTCTGCAGTGATCTCCCCTTACTTGCTGCCCAGAGTTTGGAGTACTTTCTAAACGGTTGAGGGGAACCTCCTCTCTGATAGTGGGCGTGGTTTAGGCTTAGTAACTTGTAATTTGTTTGTTTGTTTCATTTTATGCCTTTTCCCAACAAAATTTCAGTCATATAGGCGGGTAGTTTCCTAACCATCGTTCCTGGAGAGTTACACCAGTACAAGACTACCTTCCTCCGCGCTAAACTACCAAAGCATCTCCCGGAAAACTTGTAATTTAATGATTCGACAAGCGATATTGATCTGGTTCCCTTCCAAACCGTTAACGAAGACTAAATGTTAGCATACAGAGCATCATATTAAATTTAGCGACAATTTAAGGCAGAGCCCAACTTCAATAGAGGTGGAGCAAATGAAGTGAGTGACACCTCCTCAGTCATTACCTCTCTCAACGGTTAAGTTTTAGAATGATCAACTATAGACTGGCTCATTGGCACGTTATTTATAATGTAGATAAAATTAGATAATGATAAAAAGAATATTATATTCAAACATGGCACTATCACTTCAGTTAAAAGTTTATTCTAATCCATTAAAGCTCTAGCTGTGACATGTTGTACATCAGAAAAGCTATTTTTATTAGAAATTTGAAAACTGTGTGATTTTGTTAAAAAAAATAAAATGCACAAAATCAAGTCTAAAATTTTCCCCATTGCTATACTGTCAAATGCACACATCGCCTAAAAAATTATTAACAGTCAGCGAAAAATTTTATACTTAATGTTAATTATCATTATTTTTCAAATACCATTTGTCTTTCCTAACAAATTGAGCTAAAATTAGTAAAAACACTATGAGACATGATTATAAAGATTAAAAAGATAACAAATTCTTTAACAAGAAACATGGCAATGCCATGAAACCAGGTTTTCTATTATCACCATTGCAGATAAATATATTGTAGTTGAAATACAAATACAAGCAACAAATTGTAACTATATGCAATATAAATCATGAATAATGTATGAGGAGTTGCACACAGAAGGAGAATTCACTATATATTCTGTCTAAGGAAAAAAAAACAAAGGGCCATAATAAGGTCAAACATTATCCAATCACAAAACCCCGACAATATGCGCCAGGGCACTTGATGACAAAGCTCCTGTGAAAGTTTGGTTAAAATCCGTTGAGAAATGTAGGAGGAGTTGCGTACAGAAGAAATTGTTCACTATATATTCTGTGTAAAGAAAAAAACAAAGGTCCATAATTAGGTCAAATATTATCTAATCACAAAACCCTGACAATATGCGCCAGGGCACTTGATAAAAAAGCTTCTGTGAAAGTTTGGTCAAAATCCTTTAAGAAATGTAGGAGTTGCACAAATGAATTGTTCACTATATATTCTGTATAAGGAAAAAAAACAAAGGGCCATAATTAGGTCAAATATAATACCATCACAAAAACCTGACCATATGCCCCAGGGCTCTTGATGAAAAAGCTTCTGTGAAAGTTTGGCTAAAATCCGTTGAGAAATGTAAGAGTTGCGCACAGAAGAAATTGTTCACTATATATTCTATATAGGGAAAAAAAAACAAAGGGCCATAATAAGGTCAAACATTATTCAATCACAAAACCCCGACAATATGGGCCAGGGCACTTGATGAAAAAGGTTCTGTGAAAGTTTGGTTAAAATCCGTTGAGAAATGTAGGAAGAGTTGCATACAGAAGAAATTGTTCACTATATATTCTGTATAAGGAAAAAAAACAAAGGCCCATAACTAGGTCAAATATTATACAATCACAAAACCCCGACAATATGCGCCAGGGCACTTGATGACAAAGGTTCTGTGAAAGTTTGGTCAAAATCTGTGAAGAAATGTAGGAAGAGTTGCGCACAGAAGAAATTGTTCTTGTTCGGAAATTGTTCGGGGAATACGCCCGCCCGCCCATCAGCCCGCTGACATACCTCAATCTAATAACCAGTTTTTTCCTTCGGAAAACCTGGTTAAAAAAGAAAGACATTGTGGGGAATTATCAAAATTTTCAAGTTACCTTTGACTGCCATGTATATAATTATGTAGTTTCTGTCATCTTTATCAGATCTGTATCTGCTAGGATTGGTTCCCCTGAAACAACAATCATAATTTCTGGTAAGAGTTGAATTGTAGCTTAAAGTGTAATACATTCTTTCTCCCTGAGATTTCTGCACTTCTTCTCAGTGAAATTCATCTACTTACATAGTTTCATGATTGTTTCATGTGAATACCTTTTATAGTTCTTAAGTTATGTCTCGAACAATGTTCAAAGTGTAAAAATGAACAAACAGCTAGAACTTCAAAATAAGGGCAGGGAGGGTTATTGTTCTGCTGCACTGCACTTCTACTCTATGCTATATACCTATAAAGTTTCAAGTTGATACCTTTTTTAGTTCTCAAGTTATGTCCAGGACAAAATTCAAAGTGTCAAAATGGCAAAAAAACCCCCCAAAATTAGGGAAGGGAGATCAACCTTCTTCTGTACTGCACTTCTACTCATTCAGATGTATCTACCTACAAAGTTTCAATTTGATGCCTTTTAGAGTTCTCAAGTTATGTCCAAAACAAAGCTCAAAGTGTAACAATGGACAAAGGGCAAGAACTCGAAATTAAGGGAAGCGGGAATTACTGTTCTTTAATAATGCACCTAATGAGATCAATCTACCTACAAAGTTTCATGTTGATATCTCTTATAGTTTTAAAATTATGTCCGAGACAAAGTTCAAAAAGGACAAAAGCACAAAGGGCAATTACTCTAAAACTAGGCAAGACAGAGTTATGGTAATTTAGCACTGCACTTCTACCCATTGAGATCTATCTACCTACAAAATTTCATGTTGGTATCTCTTATAGTTTTAGAGTTATGTTGGGGAGTAAAAATAAACAAAGGGCAAATAACTCCAAAATTAGGCAAGATAAAGTTATGGTTCTTTTGCACTGCACTTCCACCCATTGAGATCTATCTATCTACAAAGTTTCATGTTGTTATCTTTTATGCTTTTAGAGTTATAAGGGCAATAACTCCAAAATTATGCAATACAGAGTTATGGTTCTTTAGCACTGCACTTATGAGATCTATCTACCTACAAAGTTTCATGTTGATACCTCTTGTTTTTTCAAAGTTATGTGAGGGACAAGAATAGCGGACGACGGACAGACACACAGACTTCCTCAAAGTGTGGTATTTTGTTGTCTCCATTGTTCTTTTAGCCACATAAGATAAAAAGTAGCCATATAAGAGCTAATTGAATGAATAGCATCAAAGGAAATTTGCTGTTACCTATTGTTCCCATAGCCATCTAATTATCTATATGTTTGTACGGAAGGACAAAGCGGGACTGTATGGAGCATAAAAATTCAAAGATATCACAAGAAGAACCCCCCACCCCCCTGTTAAGTGACTTCATCTCAACGCCACCAGCAACCTAGTCAGCTAATTGAGATCCCTGAGGTAACTAAGAATGACAGGCTGGAAGTAAATAAATTAGAAGTTACTCTCCCTTACATGTTGGAATTAAAAAAATAAGATGTAATTTTGGGATTCATTAATAATATTTTAATATTATGTTTGTATGTATGCGGTAACATAAAATTTAACAGTTCAGGGCAAATTATCTTTAATTTTAAACATATATTTTGTAATAATTGTTTGAACAAATGTGCCACTCAAAAATGACATTGTCACTGAATAAAATTTGCACTTGTAACCAAGCTGGCATTATTTCATCCTTTAAACCTATTTTGCACAAAAGGAATATATGCTTATATATTCTTACATTAAAATCTGTAAAAATAATATCACAACAATGCCAGACATGAAATACAGTTTATTTATCATGACAATTCAGAGTTATAATAAGTGAAACAAGAGCCATGTCAACATGGCCATCCTCGCCAAATGTGTTTGCTCATTGGAAGAATATATATGTAGTAGAGCAGAATAATTCAATTTTAAGAGGTATTTTGGTAATGAAAACTGATGGCTGAAGTGATTACAGATTTTAAACCTATGTGAATACTGTTGGCTGAAAATAACAAAGGGCAGTAACTGAAAAATAATGCAGGGTAAGTTATCATTCTTGTGTGCTACCCCTCCTCTATGCGATCTATCCACCTATGAAGTTTCAAGTTGATATCTCAAAGGCTTTTATAGTTATGCTCTAGACAAAAATTAAGCATGAAAAATAACAAAGGGCAATACACTGTAACTGAAACATTATGCAAGGTAGAGTTATCATTCTTTTGCAATGCACACCTCCTGAGTGAGATCTATCCACCTATGAAGTTTCATGTTGATCTCTCATAAGCTTTTTGAGTTATGCTCTGGACAAAAATTAAGTTTGAAAAATAACAAAGGGCAATAACTGAAAAATTATGCAGGATAGAGTTATCATTCTTGTGCACTGCACTCCTCCTTAATATGATCTATCCACTTATGAAGTTTCAAGTTGATACCTCAAATACTTTTTGAGATATGCTCTGGACAAAAAGTATGAAAAATAACAAAGGGCAATAACTCAAAAATTTTATAGGGAAGAATTATCTTTCTTGTGCACAGCATTCCTCCTAAATAAGATCTATCCACCTATGAAGTTTCATGTTGACATCTCAAAGAGTTATTTAGTTCTGCTCCACTCAGGTGAAAAATTAAGTATGAAAAATAACAAAGGGCACTTTTACTAGAATCATAAATTTTTTTAATGTGCAAAATTACCTATAAATAAAAACGCTTTTTGCACAATTGGGCTATAAATTACGCAAAAAAATTACCCGGCATATTTCTTTGCATATTGCATATTTTTCCATTTTAACTGCTTCACCTATGTACATATAAATGTTTTATATTTATAGACTTTTTGACCTCAGTGGAGCTCCTTTAAGCGACCATTTTCGGTGTTTCCCTTCAATACACTTTTAACTGTATTAGTAATTATACATAATACATATACATAATTATGTTAAATCACCATGGACTAATTTGATCTGTACTGGTTGGGGACAACCACTAAACCCGGATGGCCCCGAAAATGCTTAATTTAGTATTTTCTTTGTTCAGTGGTTGTCAGTCACTTTTTTATCAACAATAAGTGCATGTTTCTTTTTAAATTAAGTAAATATATTTATTTAAACCTCTGTAAATGGTAATTTTTTAATGTCTATTTCAAGAATGTTGACGTTGAAATTCGGGGGTCAAAAAAAGCAATGCCTGACCTCATATACCAGCTATCATCATTTACAGAGTGAATAATAGAATATCCAAAACTTCAGCATTTGTTGCTGACTTATTGTGTATCATGTTACAAATCAGAAATCAAAACACCCAAGCTTTTATCTGAATTAAATCACATAATGTACATGTCTGTCCGGACACATGGTTCTGTAGCGTAGACAATTTAGGTAATTTTTATACCCTCCTTTATATGTTCAAATACAATCAGAAATAAACAAACTAGTTTGTCAGATAGGAGAAGAACCTAGCTGAACTGTGTCAAACTTTTTGGTCTCTAGGTTAAAAATTATTAAATCTGTACAGAAAAATGTTCCAAAAGTTGATGGTCCCCGACCAGTTAATGAAGATATTTCCAATGACTTATCAATCTATTTATAATAACTTCTTTAAAGTTTTTTTTTTTTATTTCAATCTTGATTAACATGTCCATGTCTAAATTATTGTGAATAAATTTATTTCTACCTTTATTGGTTCAGCTAAACAGTGTCCATCTATCCTCACTCTACAATTTAGTGAGCTGTCTTTCCAAAATTTGCATGTTTGACATCTGTAATAAAAAAATATAAATCAGATTTTTAAAAGGAAAATAGATTTCTGCATGTGGATTAATGTGCCTTTAAAATATTTGACGAAAATAACAATCAAACAAGCACTCCCTATATCATTTCTGGGATGATCTCTATTCATATATTGTAAACATGCATATCATTTGGTTTAATTAAAGGTACATCTTATCTTTAATTACATAATATGTATGGTGAGAAAAGTCGCATAAATTGTTTGACGTTACGCAATATTTTTTTGAGAAAAGATAGAAAAAATCTGAGACACGGTTCCCCAGATATTATAATTATGTTTATATTCCAAAAGTTTGATGACAAAAAAATAAAAAATGACTTTGATATGACGATTTAAAATTATAGATTTTTTTTTAATCAAAATCAATAATTTACAAAGGTATTTTTTTCAAATATGTTATTTTTTATGAAGATCAAAGACATCTAATGCACAAAATTTAAATAAATAACAATCATTACTAAAATAAGTTGGATTTAATGACATTTTAATATGGTAGTACCACGCTTTAATGGTAAAGGAAGGCATCAGGTACCGTACCCTTCCATGAATTATTTCATGCAGGTCTGACATTCAACGAGCACCAAAGTAGAACCACCAATGTTTTTTAAGCTAGCACTGGGCAGCTTCCTCACAATTGAAAGAATTAAAATCCCTTTCATGATTCAAATCCACAGCAAGTGTGGGCCAAGTGGTTTGAACCACTTGAACAACTTGACCACAGACACCTCTTATAAATGTATTGCAATGATATATCAATATATGTACATGAAAATATATGGCAATATAACTGAAGTATATCACAATTAGTTGCAATACAGTGGCTTGATACTAATGTTACTTTAAAAGGTGATTCCCATCTTCCGGGTGAGTTTAGCTTTTAATATGCTAGAACTGCAAATGATTTGTCTAGTTGCCACCAGTAAGAGTCAACTGTCAGTCTGCACATCCAAGCAGTCTGGCCACTATCATAAATGTTTGTAGTTTAATTTTGATATTGACAGTCTCAAATTCAAAGTAGGACAAATCCAGTTTACACAAATTCAGCAGGTTAAGGTACTAAAGATAGATAAAAACGATTTGTTCATACCTTCTTCTGGTAAAGGATAATCAAACAGTACTCCATGGAGATTTCTTCAGTAAGATCTGAGCTGTTTCAAAGTCAAGAAATATTGTCTGTGAAAGAAAAATATTAAACTGATATCAAAAAGAAATGCTAGTTTAATAATCTAAATCTGAAATTTCTTATTATTTGTCTCAAAATTAAGTATTTGTTTATACCATTTAAATTCTATTTGAAAATTAAGGGATATGAAAATTAATCATTATCTACAGCAGCCTCTGCCACCATTATAAAGTCAAAAATATGTGACCAGCCCCTGCCACCAGTATAATTATACAAACAGACCTGCCTGTACATCCACATAGTCTGACCAGGCTCTATATACTTATAATAACTCAGTTTATGTATTTTAATACTGAAATCCTATAAACTTTCAATAATATACACTCCCAGTAAAAGCAGGGTAAATCAATTATACAAATATATCAAGATTGTTCAACGTTAACTAACTAGAATAAACTTTAATCTGCTGAAGCAGAAACCATGTACCTTCTTGTAGCAATCCTTAAAAGGCCTGGGCCTACATATTCATGCAGTTTGACACTGGCTCTTTTTTGTATTTTGTTATTTAAATCTATTACACACTGAATACAGAGTTCCATTTAAAGGAACTCCACTGAGGTATAAAAACAAAGAAAAACATAAAATTAGATTTTTTACATACATCAGCTGGAATACTTAAAACAGAGAGATTTGCAAAAGATCATTAAGAAATATACTTGAAATTAAACTGAAAATCATATTTTTGTGCCATTCTAAGCCCAGTTTGAGTGAAAAGTGTTGCAACGCTTTTCAATTTGGGTCATTTTTCACAATAAGAAGTATCATTCTGGAAAAAAGGAGTGAGCAAATGATCTGAACTTTTGCAAACAAGTTACTGGCCTAGACCTTCATAATCTCAAAAAAAAAAATCCCGTTTCCTAATGTTAAGAAACCTCAGTGGAGTCCCTTTAATATCCTTCACACAAATTAAGCAAGTAAATAGATTTTAAACAAAGCTTAGAAAATGATGAAGTGTACAAATACAGTTGATATTGGAAGTTAAATAAATAATATTAATTATTCTATGCATCAGAAAAAAAAATCTAATTTATCATCTGTGTAATTTTCCTTGAAATGGAGATCTTCAGTAATATATATATATTTTTGGAAATAGTACCCGGATTATTTTCATAAAGGTTATATTATGTTCATTCTTGAGTAAAATATTTTTATCATAGAAATTTATTTAAATCTATGGAATTCTAACTGAAATTTGTATAAAAGAATAATTAAGCTATGTACTGGAAGCTGTGTTCCCTATTACACTGGTCAAGTAAAATTGGTCTTTTCTCAAACAAAGAATTCCAGTTTTTTTTAATGACACTTAAATTTATATTCATATTGTGACCATCTATACTTGGTAAGGTTTAAAACATATCCACTTTGTGTGTAGTCAAAACATGTTTATATTATATTTATAAAGAGACTCACAGTGCAGTGCTCAATTATTATCAATATTTTTTAAAATCAAATTTGAGCATAGTATATATTTAATCAAAGGCTGTCAGTGCCCAACTATTCTTTAAACACAAGCATGGATAATGTAAAAATCATCAAAGAGGAATATTTCATTTAAAGAAAATAGCATGTCCATTACCAGTCTTTGGATATTGATCAAAAAAGAATTTTAAGTTCAAGAATTTTAATCTTTAATCAAAATCCATACCAAAGTTATAGGTCCTGCAAATTTATGTTTGTAATTCCAAAATCATGATTTTATTTCTAACAGAAACTGGCCACCAGTATTTTTTGAAAGATTTAAATGTTGTATTCTTTAAAAAAAAACAACCCAGCTTTGTTAATGATATTGTGTCATAGTTTAAAACACACCATATACATACTTTGTTGTCAGAACATTTTAAATTTATTCTATATTTTCAAAGAGACTGCAGCAATTATCAATATTTCAAAATATCAAATTTGAGCATTGTACATCTGTAAGTTGACTTGCACACAATAAAATGAGATAAACTAACTCAACAAATTTTATCATTGCATACTATTTGTACACATGTTTAGTTTTTTAGCATACAGGTTAAACCGAATATCTTTTACAATTCTATGTATTCAAACTTTTGTGACCGAGGTCCTTATCCAAAGATTGGAGAATTGGACCAAAAAGTTGAGAATGTTATAGAAAATTACTTTAGTCTTGTATCCGTCTATTTCTATCACTCTGGTTTCAGAGAGTGGTATCAGTCTGTTGCTATTTTGGGAGGAAACTATCTGGTTCTGGCAGATCAATCAAATGTTAAAGGTCTGTCACCAAGGCTCCTAAAATTCAAACTCAACACTGTACAAGTAGTTTTTTCCTCTTATTTGTATCACTGGAAGCAAACAAAAAAATAACAATAAATATCACCATAGAAGTTATTATATTTATATTCTTCAGAATTAGCCTGGTTAAAGGCACATGATGCCTCAGACATATATAAACTTTACTTTCATTAGAAAGGGCAAGCATGAGTATTTAAATAATGGTTTTACAGCATAATTATAAGGTGTTTATTACCTACAATATGTTAGACTGAATGTGAAATTATTTGTCATAAAGGTAGCAAAATGTGAACAAAATCACTATAACTTCTTATTTTAAAAAGCAACACAAACTAAAGCTAGTTCAGGTAAATGGCCAATGAGTATCTTTTTTTGAAACTGTGATGGGACGCCAAAAATAAAGAGCTTTTTAGAAATTAAAATAAAGGCATTTCTAAGACATAATGGGCCTTAAAACAATCTAGAAAGGATAGACTGACAATCACTTTTAGGACATTTTCACGCTATCAAAAGGGACTGATAAAGGCCACAGTTATAATCTAAAATAGTCTATGTTTCCCCCAATTTGAAAAATAATTCCTAACTGCAGCCTGGGCAAGAGTCTACACCAGTACTAATTGGTTATTTTGTAATATATCTGCTGAATTAATAATTATGTAATTAGTGATCATTACACAAACACTTTAAATAAAATCAAAAATTTTTTTTCAGGGTTTTTAAATTTTTTGGGAAATTCCCTAGGTTTTAAAAATTTTCTTTAAAAAAGACTTTTAACTGGCATGGGGGGCATTTTCCCTTCCCTTAAAAAATTATTTTTTTTTTTTATTTTTAATCCACCTAAAAATTTTGTACACTTTTAAAATTTTCAGTTTGACTCCAAAATTTTATGGAAATTCCCATTTTTTTTCTAAAAATTTTCCCTTTATTTATGGGGGCCCCTGACAGGGGGTAAAAAATTTTAAATCCATTTTTTTTGATAGAGAAAGTATACTGTACATAAAACAAAAACCAAATTTAAAATTTAATAAAATGGTTTTAAAATTTCAGACTTTTTTCAGTCTTTTTTAATTGAAGAAAACCATTTTCCAAATGGAAAAATTAGGTAATTTAAGGATTTTAGGAATGTGACTTAAACGCGGGTATCTTTTTCCCCGGTACTTTTTACCCCAAAAACTTTAATTTTTTGTGCCTCCTTATTGCAAAAATTTTTTCCTTCTTTAAGCCTTTTTATTTATATAGTAATAACATTTTTTAAAATTTTCTTTTTTACTTTTTAAACAGCTTTTCATAAATTGGCCCATTATCTGTCACGGGTTTACTATTTGGAAAACCCTTTAAAGGGGCCCTTTCAATAAGGTTAAGTTTTTTGTGCAGCATGCAGAGGGAATCCCACCGACTTAATCATGTTTTACTTCCCCGGGATGGAATTTGTTTAAAATGGAAATTTTTTTTAAATCCAAACTGATTCCTTTTAGAAAGCCCTTCTCTTTTTTTGAATTTCACTCTTAGTTTTTACTTGTCCCTACCCGTCTATCCTCATTATTGCAGGTTATTTGCCTGTAAGTCTATGCTGGTTTAAGAGGGTAGATGTTACCTTAAGTAAAAAACAATAATTCATCATTTGATCATGAATAAGTGTTTAATAATAAGCACCTAAAGTTACGAAAATGACAGGTTCCTGATTGTCGCTGTCCAATTTATAAAAAGCGAATGTGTATTTAGATGCTTTAATTTTATTGTTTTAATTTTGTTTGATGCACGATTATAAATTTGTAAATTAGATCTCAGTAACAATAACTCATAAAATGGTTAAGGATTAGTGTTTGTTGCTGGATAGTAGGATATTTTAGAGATTATTTTTAATAGTTTTACAGTCTCTTATAACTCCTAATGTAGGGGTGGCTTGGTGTTGTGTAAAAAATTGTGTTTTTTTTTTAAATATATGTAAAGATGTACAAAGATGAGACTTAAATAAAATATTTGAGTTTGAGTTTTTATGAATTGTTCGCTATCATTTTAACCATATATTGCAAGTGAAGTGTTTACATGTTCTTTTATTACATGTTCTTTTTTGTATTAATATCACAATATAATACTTTCATTATTATCACCATGCCCATAGTGTGCATAATCTTTTTATTATTTATGTACAATTTATAATTGCAACATGGTTTGGGTTAAATTGAAAGGTTTGTTATCTGATTCTAAGGGTTTATGACTGCAATATGTACTCCCAGCGGCGTGACAGTAAATGTTCCAAGTTGCATGAAAATTAGTATATTATGCCAAAAAAGAAACATTTTGTAGCTATATACTGTATATAAATAACATTAATTGAAACTGAAATATGCTGGGAAAAGGTTCGTGATGAAAGGTTCGTGTGAAGATATATTTTATTACTCGATGCCGCATACACTATGCTTGTACTATGTAAACAGCTGCAGTTAACAAACATATGTACTATGAAGTCATTTGGGTTGAAACGTTTCAATTTTTTCTATAATGATGGCTTATTATTCTCAGCACATGTTATAAACATGATCGAGAATTTCCATCAAAATCCTTTGGCAAGTGATTTTGATACTTTTCATGATTAATAAATTTCAAGAAAATTTTCTGTTGCCTACTGAATCACAAACGATGTTGTTTTCAAATGAAATAAGGGAATTTACTTTTTTTTATGATGTTTATCAATACCATGTCGAATTACAAACAAGGAAAGGCTCGTGACCATTAGTCACGAACCTTTCCTATGATAGTTTATAAGAATAAAATAATATATCTAATCCTGTAATGTTGATAATATAATTTAAGAAAAATCTTGTGAGTATATCATTCTTGTTGATACGGAAAAAGAACATCAAATGAATATCTGATTTTTATAAGACGTACAACAATTGAAAAAGATTTATGTAAAGAATAAACCTCGTACTTGCCTGAAAAGCTTGTTTTATAAAAAAAACATATAAACATTATATTTGTGTGATTATAAATTCGAAAAAATGAAGAGAATTTTAAGCAATTCTGTAAAGATAAATTATCATGATGAGGGAAACCTAATCAAATAAATGTTAAACTCAATGATAGGTTCGTTGTCTTAAGCCACAAACCTTTCTATAAAAAACCCCGTCTTTTTCAAGCTAGACAAATGAAGCTTCTGAATTACTTTTAGTGCAGACAATTATGCTAAAGTCTAAACCTGAAAACATGAGGGAATTCAGTAAAAAAATAAAACAATAAGATTCAGAAAAAAAATATCAAGAATATATTTTACAAGCATGAAAAAATATGTTGCTTCTTCAATGTAGTGAAATTGTGATTAACCTTATGAAAACTAATATTTGCATGACATTTCAATGGCCAGCAGGCAAAGAAAAGATATGGCTTGTACACCCGAGGACACACCCTAAAAGGTTATGAAGCAAAAAGCAACAAGAAATCGCGAAGATCATTTAAATAATTGGGAGGTTAATTGGGAGGTGATGGCATTGAATTGGTAAATTCTTTTTTTTTTGTGGCAAAAAAGCAGTTGCAGTAAATAACAAACGTATCATTAATGAAATTGACACCGATCATAATAATTGATACGCTTGCGTAATATTGCTAATATTTCATACTCGTTGAATGTTTCTCTTCGTAAAAAGTTAATGTTTATTTGTTATAAAACTAGAATCTAGTATTATTACCATATTGATATGTTTTCATTGGATTGAATTTCAATGAATTTGAATTATAGAGTTCAGAAAACATTTATAAATTGTTTTACTACAGATGCCATTCCAATTTAATATCATTTTTGAGAAATGAAAAGATAACTACCATTAGGTAATGAATATAATTGTATTTGAATGTCTATATCCAAACTTTATATCTGAATATAAATGTATCTATATTAGCATCAAAATTTTGATTTGACAATGAAAGGTTCGTTATTTTATATACCATATCTGAATTGAAAAAGAAAGTAAATATATGATTAAAATCTTAGCACCAGCAATGTATTTGATCTGGTAAGCTGTTCTACTTCTTGATACATGTTTATCTATAAATTGAGGTGTTAATGTTTCATTTGTTTTAGACTGATATGTTGTATTGCTATGTCTTAACTTACTATTATTTCACATTAAATACTATTCGATGCTTTATTTTACTCCAAATTTTGAACCAGTATACTATCAAGTCAAGACAGTGTGTGTGTTTGGTTTGTTTACCCTCGCCACCGGAATGAACCATATGGGCGAGCACATACTTCATTTAAAACTTACTTTATTTATATTGGAACTAATTTAATTAAGCTATAGTTTTATCGGTACATGTGTTTACGTGTGTGCCATAATTCCTATCACAAGTTCGTATAAAAGTATGTAACCCATTATAGGAATAAGATGGGATTGCTCCCATACTAAGTTAAAATGACATGTATTTAAAAAATGAATAGCATGTTTAAATTACTTAAGGTTAAAAGGGCCAAGACGTTTATAAAAAGCACCGTCTCTTATAACAGGTCAACTATTATAATATACTTTGTTTAAAAGAGAGAAAGAAAGTCTTTTTAAAGCAATGTCAGGAATGTATTTCCCCAATTCAATGTGGCTAGTTATTATAAGTCTAATTTGATCAGGTACATCACACAAAGGAGTGTCAAAATTGTTAAAACAAGTTTGTTTTAGTATGGAAATGATAGATTTTATTAAATTTTTAGTATATTTCACCCGAACACCTGCTTAGTTAAAGATGTTCTTATTGGTCTAAAAGTGATTGCCTCCTTTGTTCTGATTGGCCGAAAATTCTCTATTTACAAAATAAGGAGGTCAATCCGATTTTGTAATATTTTGCAAATTTTCTTAATTTTTGGACTGACCTATATCAACAAGTTTGTCGCGCGAACGGGATAGAGATTTACCAGGTGCCCTTAACACTGGACCATTGTATAGTATCTGTACAACTATTAAAAATAAAAATAAAAAAAAAATAACTTGTAAAATAACAATCAAATGTTTATTCAATGG